GCCTCACAAACCTGAGGTCATGAGTTTGATTCCAGTACCAAAAAAAAAAAACAAAAAACAAAAAACAAACCAAAAAGAAAAACCTAATCTGAAAAAAAAGATATTGAAGACCCACCATGTTTCTGATTTTATATTAAACAACTGACATGTGATAGACCGTGACACCTGTACCATTTTTTAAAGATGTGGAGCAAGTGACTAAACATGGTTATTTAGCTTACCTAAGGTCACACCAACAAAATTTAGAGTGGACTGTATCACATAAATAGCATTTGATAAATCCTAAATCCCGAATCTTTGACTCTTACAGAGTAAACCCTCCATGCTGAATGAGCTTCTGCTTCTTTTTTTATGTCTACATATATCTCACTGAATTCTCAATAATTATTATGTCTGCCAATCTCCAAACAAACTGTGAGCTCCCTGAAAGCAGGGACATGACCCTTTAATTCTGTGCCTTAATATCCATCAATCCTTCATGTATAATAGATGTTTGGTAAGTGATTAAATTAGACAAGATAATTTTTATTGAGTGCTTAGCATAGCCCAGACAAAATGATAAATGTCTTGTATATATCATCTCACTGAATCTTCACTAGTTCCTTTTTTTACAGATGAAGAACCAATATTTGGGAAAGCAAATATTTGGGGTAAAGGCGGGGGCCGGAAGAAAAAGCAAAACTAATCAAATATTCTAAAATGTGATCTTATGCTAAAAAGCCATTAAGATTATTTGTATTTAAGAGCTCTCCACCTATCTGCTTCCTAAATGCATATTTTAACATCCCCTCCAAATCTGACTTTGAAATTTAATTCTCATTATAGGAATGCTGAGAGATTGCATCTTGATCACCTTAAGAAGAGATTAATCCTTACCACAAGGGTGGATTCCTAATTTTAAATGAGTTCAGTTCAAATTTTTCTCCTGTCTCACTCATGATTGTTTGTTCTCCTCCTCCACATAACACAGCAAGAGTCTGGAGCATGGTGGTATATGCCTATAATCCCAGCACTCTGGGAAGTTGAAGGAGGAGGATCACGAGTTCAAGTCCAGCTTGGGCAATTTAGCTAGACCCTGTCTCAAAGTTTTAAAAAATAATAAAATGTAGAAAGCTGGAGAGATAGCTCAATGTGAAGGCTCTGTGTTCAATCTCAAGTACCAAAAATCAAACCAAATCAAATACTACATACACACAGTAAGGAAGGCCCTCCTTAAGTGGGGCCTCTCCATCTTGGACAGCTCAGCCTTCAGAGCCATGAGACAAATAAACTTCTGTTATTTCTAATTTACCAAGCAGAATGCAGTTTAGCCTCACCCACACACACACACTAAACTATCACATGACCCTCACTGCTACCCCAGTCTTCCTTCCCCCATCCAGACCTAAAGTTCTTAGCTTCAATTTTCTGCCTGTTTCCTGCATGCCTGAGGCCTTTTAGTGTCCTCATCCCCAGGGAATCTCGATTCTCAACTAGGGCCCTAATAACAGAATAAATACTTAAGTTCCTTTTCTACCAACTCTCTGAGCCCTACCAGACCTGAGACTCCACTGCCACTCCCTGCCCAGACCTGGTAAGTTTGTCTGTGTGTGCTCAGCCCTGCCATAGGCACACTGTGAGCAGACCACAGACCTGACTGCCGCAAATGTAATTTCTCACGGAGGTAGTTTCCACTTCAAACTAAAAGGACTCACAAATGAAACACACTTTCTTACTTGGGTTGTGTGCCACGTAGTATGACTGACTTCTCAGACAGCTGTCTCCCTATTAAGGAGACTATGAAGTAGAAAATCAGCTCCTCCAGGTCACAAACAAGGAAACAAGTTGACAGAGTTTAGATGGCTTGACTGAGTTTGCACAGCAGGTAACCTGCAGAGTGAGGATGTGAACTAACTGAGCTGCCCTTGGTCTTCATTAGTGAGTGATGAATTCTTGGCTGGTAGCTTTCAGGCGCTTAAGATACCTCCAGAGATGAAAAACTTACTCCTCTCCTCATGGCACAGCCTTGTCCAGATACTTGAGTTCTTGTTTGTATATATTTAAGGTAAGGTCTTCCTTTACCTGGTGCTAAAAAAGTCAGAGGGCTGAGAGGTATGAACTGTATTATTCTGGGTGAGTTATCTGGAAGAGGGATCTCGCTACCTGATCACAAGAGACAAATGAATCAGAAGAAAATAGCAGTGGGGTAGAGGAGAAGGTAGAAGAAACCTGTAAAAGTCTCCAGAATCACCTACACCATGCACAGGGCTGTGTAGCCATACCACTAACTGAGATTCCCTGGGGGTGAGGACACTAAGGGATCCAGCCCACAGATCCCTAAACCAGACGGAAGTGGGAAGGACTTCTTTGAGGGCTGCTGATGGTAACCCCTTCTCTGCCTTGTGTTATTTTCCAGTGCCTTGTAATTTCTCCACCTTGAATGTTTTTCAGATCTAACTCAAGTATCAGTGACAGGCAGGAAAGGAAGATCCCAAGACATCAGTTTCAATCTCTTTCTTAGAATTTAAGCCTGTTGTACACAACACACACATTTCCCATTTCACTTCCCCATCTGTGTACGTAGGGCTGATGCAGGGAGAGCTGTGGTCTCTGTGCTGTGTAGCTCCCAGGTCAAGGAGGGAGTAAGTTATTTGAGTAATAGCTCAGGGGATGACTAAATATGGTATGATTATTTAAAGGCTGAGTGGAGGGAGAAAATGAGGGGGAAACAGGATCCCTGTTTATAACTGGATTACTAAACTCTCAATTCTGCCCAATTTAGAGCAAGAATATTTAGGTATCATCTGTTTAAAAACAATGTATTTTTTATTTTATAAAAAAATTTATAACCACAGAAGAGAATAACAATAATTATTATACTTTATCTTCAAAGCAGTTATTCACCACAAGACATAAAACAAAAGGAGTTTAACAAAAGAAACAGATAATAACACAAACTTTCTTTTCAATGAGCTAAGGTAAGCTATAAGTATACATGAGACAAATTAGCATATATTGAAATATTTTTAGAACAATGAAATGTGTAATTTGGGGGTGTATGTGAACTTCTCCCTACTTAATGTTTATCTATCTTCCATCTTGCCTTTCTTTGGATACTTTTATTATATATTATTATATATTATATGTTATACATTACACATTACATACTATATATGTGTTGTTTCTCATATAAGAGAAACCATGCGATATTTGAGCTTGTATGCCTGACTTTTTTCACTTAACATTATGTTCTCAGGTTGTACCCATTTACCTACAAATAAGTGTATGAACATGTGTCCTCTGAGTATATCCTTGCTCATGGACTTTACACAGAACTATACGTGCACACACAATCATATAACTGAACAGTGTGTTTATTTATCAAATGGAATCATGTCACCTATACTGTACTATTTTGCAAAGTCTCCCACACTGATTTCTGTCTGATCCATCCATCACCACAGAGGCTGAGATCCCCTCTGGTGTCCTTGGGCACCAAATAGGTGGTAGAAATACAAGGGAGGTAATATTACAGAAGATAAAACAAGAAACACATTGGGGAAGGGATAGGGAGAAAGGGATATTTGTTCAATATCAGAATGACAGCTAGAGTTGGCACTGGGATAGAGAAGAGGCATCCTGATACGCAGCTCTTTTCCACAACTCACATCTGAAGACCTTTTATCCTTCCTGCCTCTTTCCACAAGATAGTTACTTAGGTCACTGCATACTGGGAGATGACATTAGGAACTGCACAGACTATTACAGCTTAGGTTAAGGATGCCAACTGGGGCATCTGCAGAGGTCTAATCAGTTCCAACATCTGTTTCAATCAGCAACCAGAGCACAATCATGTTCCATTACTGTAAGTACTGCTCTCTATTCTTTCCTACTGTTTCTTATATCTACTCTGATTTATCTATCTTTCATGTTCATCTCCTCTCCCTCTACTGTCCCCTTCCTGTCTTTCCTGTCTAATCTCCCCAGTCTATCAAATACCCAATTATCAGCTATCTAGCATGTAAGAAAGAAGTGAGAAGGTATATATAGGTGAGGCAAAATGAGGAAAGGGTGTGTGTGTAATAGAAGATGCGGGGTGAAGATGTGTAAAAATTCAGTGCTACTATTATTTGATCAAATTTACTCTCCATGTTTGCTTATGGAGAATGATTGTGTGTTCTAAGTGAGTAAAATTCATTTCTCATTCTGTCACATACCTTTTGGTTTTTATGAAAGAATATGCTTTGCACACAATAATTTTTCAATGACCTCAGCAGATCATATCATGGCCAAATCAACCTGACACCAACCACTATCAATTTTGCTTGATCTCACCTGATTTCTTAATATCTATAGAGGGCATCTGAGGAAAGCATGGGATCCTAGTACTAAACATGAGCCATGCAATCTTATGTCTGTGGCAGGCTGTGAGAGATTCAGCCCCTCACCTGTGTCTTGATGTTCCTGGTTAGCACCTCGGTTTTCAGCCTCATCTATGAGCTGGTACGGGCTCAGTGGCTTGAAAATGCCAAGATCTCCTTTTTTTCCCTTTACCCCTTCAGTCTTAATTTCCCACTGTAAAAAGTAGCCACATTTGAGTCTTCCAGTCTATCTGACTTTTTTATTATTAATATTACCTTCATGTTGCCACACAACAGATGAATCAATAGAAAATTCACAAGCAAGAGGCCATAGAGGATTCACAGGCAAAAAGCAGAAGGGCGTAAATCTCTGATCACTCACCTTTACCATGGAGCGTTCTACGGCCAGGCCACTCACTCAGCCCCCACCCTGCACCCTGGACATCACTGAGTCCTACAGAAATGAAAAGTTATTTTGAAGTTTGGTGATACGGCTCTTTGCATCATCTCCCAGTGCACCGCAATCTTCTCATCCTGGATGCTTTTCATGAAGTCTAACGCAAACATTTCCTGTTGCCATCCAGCTACAACATAAGGTTGGATCCAAGGGTTTCTTAAAGGCTTAGACCAAGGCAGTGAGATCCTCTCTATACACCATTCCTTGCTGTGCAACACACAAACCACAGCCATCAGATCCCAGCCTCCTTCCTGCTCATGGGAATTCCTGGCCTTGAGGCATCCCACTTCTGGCTTGCATTTCCCTTCTGCTCCATGTATGCCTTGGCATTGCTTGGCAGCATGGCAGTGCTGCTGGTGGTGCATTCAGAGCCCACCCTGCACCGGCCCATCTACTTATTCCTGTGCATGCTGTCCACCATTGACTTGGTGCTCTGCACCTCCACCGTGCCCAAGCTCCTTGCCCTCTTTTGGGCAAATGCTGCTGAGATTGCCTTTGGGGCCTGTGCTGCCCAGATGTTCTTTATCCATGGTTTCTCAGCTGTAGAATCTGGCCTCCTGCTAACAATGGGTTTTGATCGCTACTTGGCTATCTGCCAGCCACTGCACTATGGGTCACTGCTGCCTCCAGAGTCTGTGGGCAAGTTGGGGGCAGCTGCTGCACTCCATGGCTTGGGGCTCATGACCCCACTTACCCGCTTACTGGCAAAGCTGACTTACTGTAACCGAGTGGTGGCCCATTCCTACTGTGAACATATGGCTGTGGTAAAGCTGGCTTGTGGGGATACACGGCCAAACAACATATATGGCATCACTGCTGCCACACTGGTGGTGGGCACTGACTCCATCTGCATTGCCATCTCCTACGCACTCATCCTCCAGGCTGTGTTAGACCTCTCCTCCAAAGAGGCAAGGGCTAAGGCTTTTGGCACTTGTGGCTCCCACCTCGGTGTCATCCTCCTCTTCTACACACCAGGACTCTTCTCATTCTATACTCAGCATTTGGGCCAACATGTACCTAGGCACATCCACATCCTCCTGGCTCACCTCTACCTCATTGTGCCTCCCATGCTTAACCCCATCATCTATGGGATGAAAACCAAACAGATCCGGGATGGCACCCTCCGACTGCTGAAGAGGAGCTCTGCTCAGCCATGAGGCCTTCAATACTACCCCTGCCTGACAAACTAGGCTTTAACCCCCTCAGCCCTTGGGCAATGTTTATGAGGCTCCTGGCTCCCAGCATGATGGGGAGACAGAAAGCCACACTCAGTGGTATCCTTACTTTGATCAGGAAGTCTATCAAGCCAGATGGTGCAAGAACCATCTAGTGTTTCCCACCTGTGATGTAGATATGGCTACAAAGCTCAGAAAGTCCTTGTCTCATAGGAAATATGGCTATCAAACTGATGTGGGCCTCCTGAAAATGCTGCTCTGCTGTCTGACACTACTCCTACCTTCAAGAGACATTGATAAAATGAGGAAGATACAGTTACTTTACCTGACAAGAAGAAATAACCCTCATCCATACCCTATTGTTTACACCAACTGTTAATTCACTGCTTAGTAATATTCCACTATATGCATACCTCACAGTTGAACTATCTTCTTTTGGACACCTGAATTATTTCCCACTTTGGGCTATTATAAATAAAGGTGCTATGAGTATTGCTTAGCCTAGAAGTAGAATTTCTAGGTCAGAGGGAAGGGTATGTGTATGACTCTAAAAGAACTCAAGACATAATTTTTCCAAAGTAGTGGTACAATTTTTATAATCTCACCAATGCTATGTAGTTCCACATCTTGGTCAGCTTTTCATATTTTTTCCCACTTTAGCCATTTCCATGAATATAAGCTAGCAATTCATTATGGTCTCAATTTACACTTTTTTCTAACAACTACTGATATTCAGTATGTTTTGTGTTTATTATTTTTGGGCAATTTTTAAGTCTTTTGCCCATTTTTAAAGAGATTTTGGTTTTGTTGACTTGCACTCACTGTTATAGAGTCTGGATACTAGTCAGATACGCATAGTGAAAATATTCTGCCATTCATTTCATTTTCTTACTGATATCTTTTTAGTTAAAAAGAAACTTTTAGCTATGATGTAGAAATCAAGTTGATTCACAGCTTTTACTTTGTTCTATAAATTTAGGTTTTAATTTTAGGTCTATGGTTCAATACAAATAATAGTGTATGGTGTGATGTAGGACTCAAGATCTATTTTTCATGTATGGATATCTTATTACAGAATTACTTTTTGTAGCTCATCTTTGACAAATTGAATTGCACTGGCAACTTTATCAAATTGAAAAGCTTTATGTGTGGATATATTTCTGGACTTTTCTCTTTCATTAAGGTCTATCCTTCTGTTAATACCACACTGTCATATAGTTAATCTTCAAATGAAGTAATATAAGTCTCCCCTCACTGTATTTCCACAGCAACACTGGCTACTCTAAGTTATTTTCATTCCCAACATAGAATGTTTTCATTAGACTCAAGCTGCTTATCTTGCGTTGGTTAAACCACATGCCTATGGTAAATTAATTCTCTTGTACTTCCAGGTTAAAAATGTGCCAGCATCTAGCTAGGTGTGGTGGCACATGCCTTTAATCCCAGCACTGGGGAGGCTGAGGCAGGAGGATCACCTTGAGTTTGAGGCCAGCGTAGGCTACATAAACAAGTTCTAGGCCAGCCTGCGCCACATATTGAAACCCTGTCTCAAAACAAAAAAAGAAAGAAATGTGCCAGCATCTAAACAGATGTTGTGATATTTCATTCTCTCAAAGTAATAAGGAGCCTCAGAGTTAGAGCTCAAGGGTATTGTTACCAACTGAATGTTTATGTTCTCCAACCCCAGAAAGTCTTGTTTTTGAGGTCATAGCTCTCAATATGCCTGTATGGAGATACAGCTTTTATAGACTTCACTAAACTAACTGGGGCTGGATGAAGTCATGAGATTAGTGTCCTTGTAAGAAGAAACACCAGAGAGCTTGTTGGCTCTTTCTACCACCTAAGAACATAATACGGTGGCCTTCTGCAAGCCAGGAAGGGAGAATCCTCACCAGACCCAATCACTGGGCATCCTGATCTTAAACTTCCATTCTCTAGAACTGTGAGAAAACAATTTTAAGTTGTTCGAGTCACCAAGTCCACAGTATTCCCCTGTGGCAGCCTAAGCAGTCTAATACGAGTGTACAACAATGCTGTCAAAGGCATGGGGTGCAGTAGGTTTAGGACACATGAAGAACAATATAAGAGATGGGGTACAGTCACTGAGGCAGGCTCTGCAGCCAGGGGCAAAAATGGAAGCAACAACAGGAGAAAATTGATTCTACATCCTCAAGAACTTCACAGGCAACTCCTAAAGGACTCTAGCTCCCAGATAGCCCGTGTCTTGGTTACTTTTCTCTCATTGATGAGACAAAATACCTGACACACAGAATTGAGGAAAAAAAAGTTTATCTAGCTCACAGTTTGTGGAGGTTTCAGTTCATACTTGGCTGGCTCCAAGGTACAGTGGCACATGGCAGAGGGCAACAGTTCATGGTAGAGGAGAACAGCAAAAGTAACAAGAGCAAAAAAGAAGGAGCAACAGCAAGAAAGCCTCTTTCCCTCCTTTGTATTGTATGCAGGCTCCCCACCCTACTATACCCAGTGCAGGGTGGGTGTAGCACTCACACCCATAATCCCATTGGACCGTGAGTATAGCACTCACACCCATAATCTCATTGGACCATGAGCCAGTCAAAAACTCTAGATGCCAGCCCCATGACTGCATGAGGCTTTGGGGGGACATAACCATAACAGCCATCTAGGGAAGTGTATAGATCCAAGCTAACACAATTGAATTTTGGTAAGATAAGAAAACAACCAAGGAGTCTGAGAGTGAAAGTGACAGTAGGTAACAGGACAAAGCATCAGATTTGGAAGGAAGAGTGAAGAAAGTCTCACAAGGCAAAGAGAGTGACCAAATGTGTCAAATGCTGGGGTCAAAACCATGAATGTAAAGGCAGATGGGACTGGCAGCATAGTATCCATCAGAACTTTGATAAAACCCATTCCAGTGGTCTCAAGTGGCCAACAGCTTATTTAGTAAGAACACAAGAGAGAAGGAAAAAACAGGAGGCAATGAATATAGAACATTCTTTTTCCCCAGTTTTATTAAGAAATTTACTTTGAGTTTTGTTGTAGGTTAGCAGAAATATGGGGCTTTAGCAGGAAGAAGATCAAAGCTGAAAAATTTATGAGGACTCTGTCTCTGAGTTGCTGCATGAACCAAACCCTCTCTTGAGGAATGAACATTATGCTGGTGCTAACAGGAGTATGGTTTTGTCTGAAAACAGGGAAGTAGATGAGATCTTACCAATTTCCTATTACGTTTAGTCTCTGAGATCTACTAGGATCCTTGCACCTACAGGAATGGTTGTATAATCCAACCAGTAAGGTCCTGAAATGTGCTGTGTTCTAATCCAAATCACAATAAATCAAAGCATTTGGAGGCACAATTTTGCATGTGTGCAAGTTTATTCCATTACAGGTGGGCATAGATGACTAAAGCAGTGCCCTCTATCTAAAGACAAAGACTAAAATGGGCCTTACCAACCTACCCAGTCCCTTGGGATATAATTGCTCAGTCAGATTCATAGGGGTCACACTTTTTCCAAAGGGCCAAAATGAAGATTATCAGTTAAAACTACCATAAGGAAGAAAAGATAGAAATGAGGGACTGAGAAATGGAAGATGTCAAAGCTATAAGAATTCCTTTCATTGTCTCATGCATAGGAAAAGATGAACCATTAAGGAGTTGCTAAATTTAAATGATTTGTAAATGAATTTCAGATTTCAGAGGTGAAAATTAAACTTCATATCTCCACTAATCACACCTTATGAGGTTGGAAGTTTTGGGAATACAAGAATTTAATCTAGATTAAATACTTTCTTAAAAGACAAAATCTTGGAATCTAACACTGACTGTGAACTTTTCCCTTATGTGAGCTCTAATGCAGGCTTAGAACATGGATCTAACCATTGTCATGGTACTGATTTCAAATATCTGATCACAAGAAAAACTTAAGCTGTCAGCTCATTGTTTGTTATGCAACATTATTCATTCATTGAACATCCTTTAAGTCTTAGTATGCCAATAGTATCAAAAGTTGGAAAACTAAGATGTTCCTCAACAAATCCTAGCCTATGAACAAAATACACAATATGTTATATAAATGCTTTATAGCTAACTGCACAGGAAAATATAGAAATATAGGAGACAGAGTACAAACATGGCCTTAAGTGGAAAATCCTCTATAAACCTTGAAAACTAAGAGCCTATTGTTGGGAAAGTCCTGGCCAGAAGAATGCAGCAATGAGAACAAGCCCACCTACTTCTATTTGAGTTTCTCCCACCATAAAAAGGCAATAGTAGTACAGCCTCCTATAGTATACAATAATTAAATATTTTATAAACTATCTATAAAATGTAGGTTGGGATTCTTATTAAGTTTAATTGTATCGTGAAGTTGTTTGGAGTTAGGATGCATAGGAATTAGATGATTCTGAAACCTGTACTTAAAGCTGGGAAAGTTCCCTTGGGATTTGTAGAGCTTTGATGAAAGAGGATTGAATTAAGGCAGCTGACCCAGAAGGAGGCAGTCCTTGGCAGAGAACTAGCACAGTGATTGCCTTAGATGTTTGGGGCCTAGAGAACATCTTATACTAACAACTATACCATTATTACATCTTATTGTATTTCTTGGTATTCCTTATATATAGTACTATTTAATCCTCATAACAACTTTATGGGGTTAATAAGATGGGAAAATTATGCTTACAAGAAATCAAGAAGCGGGGCTGGGAATTTAGCTCAGCGGCACAGCACCTGCCTGGTAAGCACGAGCTTGTGAGTTCGATTTCCAGTACCTCAGAAAAAAAAAAAAAAAGTCAAGAAATTATTCAAGATTAAAGACCTAGTTAGAAGTATAGATAAAACCTGAAAACCAGGCTACATTTCAGATGCCTAAAACATATAGGTTTCTCCTCAGCACAGTTTTAAAAACAAAATTGACCATTTCTTAATATCAACCTAAGAATAAGACAACTTCCCAATAAGCCCTGCCGTACAGTGGTAAGATCTAGGTATTCAGCCAACACTTTATCCAATCCCTGGTATGTTCTTTCCTCAGTCAGGTATGCAACTGGTTTATTTCTCTATCTCTCACAGGAGAGAACATGAAAGGGAAGAAGAATGAATTTTGCACTCACCATAACTTCATATCAGAATGAATTCACAGCAATTGTTCACTAGCTTAACTTCTGTAGACTTCATTTGTACTTTTACAGAAAGAGGGGGAAAAAACCACCTAATAGGGGACTATTAGGAAATCACATGCCCCAAAGCCAGCGAGCATCATAGATTAACCTGCTTGGAAAGACTTGGCCTTAACAAACAGGATATGTATCCTGATTTCTACAAATCTCCTCTTCCTCTGGTTCATCTCCTACCCCGTCTCTTGACTGCTATTACCCACAACCAGCACAGAAGTGTCTACAAATTTTACTTGTTCTGAAAATGTACATGATGGGTCAGTTGCTCATCTTCCAATCACCAAGGACCCCACCCAACTCTACAGTATTGCAGATTCAGTATTCTGTTTCCTAAAATCAAAGCAAGCCTTGGTAACTGGAATTAAGGATTTCACTTAGACCATGTTTAGATCACACTGAAGTCCGTGAGAGGCTTAGTTATGAATAATAAACCCAGAGTTTCTATGGAATAATGTAACTGAACAAAATTTTTGCACTTGCAGCCAACCAACCAACATTTGACTTTTCCCTCCCAAAATCAAAGCCACCTAATACAAATTAAATATGTTAATGGTACTAATTATAATAAATGCTCCCATCTGCTCTGAGCTTAATAAAAAATATATAATCAATTGCACTTACCATTTTACCACTCTTTCACTCATTTAACACATAAAATGTTTATTATATGCTAAGCCATGTTAAACTCTAGAATTGGACAAGTCCAAAAGTCTCCATGGTGGCTGTAGGGAATTGGGAAAATAGGCATTAGTCAAATAAACACACAAACACACATAAAATGGGTTCTCTGAAGCTGAATTTAATGCTTTGTGGACCTTATATAATTAAATATTCACAATATCTTCACGAGGTAGGTATTTTCACTTATGAGGAGATGGAGATTCAGAGAGATGAAGTAATTGAAAGGTCACACAGCTAGTGTGGGATAGAAAGAGACTGTTAAACTCAAGTTTTCTGCAATGGTAGGTGGCAATCTGACTATCATAAAGATTAAGAGCAAGAGCTTTATACTGATATACACAGATTTTTTTTATTCTACCAAAATTTTAAAGTCTCTATACATCATATCCTAATCTTTACCTAGGTAAACTAGCAGCAAAGCTTATTAGAGACTGTCTCAGGACTCCTCCTTGTGTCAGGTGCAGATACTTCACTAACTATTGGCCCATGAAGCTAAGCAAAGCATATGGAACATACCAAGATGTCTGCATACGTCAGGCAAATTTGTACAAACATAGACCTCTCAATCCCTTCCAGCTCTTAATGTCGGTGCCCCCATGGAATGTGCAGCAAAAACACAGCCATGCTGCAGTGAAAGCCCTGACAGCTGGGAGAAGTCACCAAGCTCAAAACAACAATTACAAAATGGTAGAAAAAGGTAGATATGACAAAGCCCACAATTCTTGCAGTCCTCAGTTGGGCCTCTAATATCCAAACTTTACTGTGGGATCCTCTGAATAGGAATGTGACATACACCTTCAGAGCTCTGGATACAAAGATTGCTTTGTTTGTTTGTTTGTTTGAAGTGCTCAAGGATGTTTGTGATCCTGAATATCAGGTATCCTAGGCCAATAGGATGGTAGAGATGGTTGGGTACAGCCCTCAGTGATGGATACGCTGGCTCCCTGTCAGAACCTTCTTGGTAATGGGGTCATAGGTGAAGCAGACAGAAGAGCCTGAATAGCACTTGGTCAGCCCAAAATTTACAATTTTGATGAGGAAATTTATAATATAGCACATGCTATCTTCCCAAATGGCTTCCTTTTTCAAAATGCCTAATCAAAGTGAGTTTACTGAAGTTTTCCTTTGGTTACTACCAGACATAATATTTCAAAATGGTAGCTCTAAACTCATGGCTTTTTCCTCTTTCTTCTTGAACTCTGTGGCCGTTAGACACATAGGACACACCATGGCCTCCTCCTAGTTACTGATAGGCCCTGGGATCTGGGTTTCCTGGAATCCATACTACAGTGACCACAGGGAAAGCAGGCTTTCCAACTGACGATGTTTGTGCAGGGTTCACAGCTTCCCCACCCTGCCTTCTTGCCTCCAGGCTCCTCATCCTCCTTCTCTTATTTCAATTTTCATGAAAAAAGGCAGAGAAAGGACCAATATCATGAAATTTACTGTTGTCCAAATAACCATAGGTATAGGCCAAGTACTTTCCAACAGCTCTATCATGGTTGTTTCTACTTAAGTGGTTGTTTTCCACCAGCAATATCCTTATTTCAATACTTCGGTAAACCCATAGATGTTTTAGGACTGAGAAATCCAAGGAAAATGATAATGGTGGAAAGGGATATCTCTCAGTCTCCTAGAAATCTGGAAGCAGTACTGAAAAAAGCTCCACAACATGTTTGGATCCTTTCTAGGCTGCACTCGTATTGACCCTGTGGTATAGGAGAACCACATCTCAGCTCCAAGGTCTCTGATTCTCATTCTTACCTCATTCTATTCCAGTTTATTTTTTTTTCCATTCCTTTTTTTTTAACTCTTTGTTATCTTCAAAGGTCTCGGGTATTTGGATATCCCTGTTCTCCCCCTGAGCATCAGCTCTTACCATTTCATCTTCCTTATTCACTTGCTCAATAATATGCATTGAGCTCCTACAGAGTAGGCACCATTTTTGGAGCTAGAGCTATGTCAGTGAACAAAACAGCCCTGAATTCCTGGTCTCAGTTGCCTTAGAAGTAGTTGTTCCAGCCTTACTATTGGTATCCAAGTAATCAGCACTATCCAGATACTATACCAAGCAGCCTCCTTAGACTTAATAATATCAGACTTTCTCCCTAGCTCAAAGCAGAGACATACATGATAGAACCAAGAGAAAACTATCCTTCCCCAGTTACAAACAAGTGGTAGATAAGTTCAACATGTACAGTGTAGTAATATGTTGCTCCATAATCCATCTCCCTGTCGTAGTTCTTGGTATAGGAGCTGGTTAATATAAAATTTGGGAGAAAGTGGCCGATAGTAAAGTGAATATAGCTTTCTATAGTTCTTTAGACTTATACTTCAAATGAGAAAAATCCAGAGAAGAGAGATACCTGTACAGATAGATATGCACACATCTTATCAGTGTGATTAAGTCCCCTGTGTAAGGAGATGCTACAGTATATATGAGTCCAAAATAATTCTGCTGTAATGAGATAGAACAATGAGAAGATTATTAAGGTGCCACTTTGATGTGTTCAATCCTCCAAACTCTATATGATTATAGAGGTTGATAGGACCCCACAAAGTGCTCATTTTTACCCAACCCCAGAGTATGGGTAGCCCACTGGGGTCATGTACAGCTGGGTTCTTCTGTTCTAGGAAACATCAACCCTCTTCTGCTGGAAGCGCTTTAGGAAGCCCTGACGGATCTGCTTAGATTTGATGCAGTACACAAGGGGGTTCATGAGGGGTGGGACCAAGAAGTGCAGGTTGGCCATAAGCACTGCCAGAGCAGGGTAGTTGTGCTTCTCCACTCGGTGCAACACAGATAGCCCAAGTTTGGGCAAATAAAAGATGAGCACAATGCAGAGGTGTGAGACACACGTGTTGAGTGCCTTGAGCCGTTCCCCAGGTGATGCAATGCCCAGCACTGTCCGCAGGATCAGGGCATATGAGAGTATGATGAGAGAGGAGTCAAGGCCCAGGGAGAAGAGGATGGACACCAGGCCAACCAAGCTGTTGATCTGGATGTCTGAGCAGGCCAGTTGCACAAGGTCACAATGCAGGCAGTAGCAATGAGAGAGCTCACTGATTTGAGGAAAAAGCAGATTCCGCAGAAGGATGGGTCCTGGCAGGTTGAGCAGGACAGCTCTAACCAAAATGGCAGCCCCCACTTTTGCCACAGCTGAGTGGGGAAGGATTGTAGCATAATGTAAAGGGTCCCGGATGGCAATAAAACGATCAAAGGCCATGGCCAGCAGCACACCAGACTCCACATAGGTGAAAGCATGGATGAAAAACATCTGTGCTGCACAAAGATCAAAAGGCAGCTCACGCGTTCCCAACCAGAAGAGCTGCACCATGGTGGGGAAGGTGGACACACAGAGCCCCAGATCAGAAGCAGCCAACATGGACAGGAAAATATACATGGGTTCATGTAGGACCGGATCTGTGCGAATCACGAAGAGGATGATGCTGTTGCCCACGATGGAAACAACGCAGATGAGGTTGATGGGGATGGAGACCCAATGCTGAGAGGCCTCTAGGCCTGGAAAGCCAGTGAGGAGGAAGACAGAGTGACCGGAAGTGCTGCTGTTGCAAGAAAACATAGCGATTCCAGGAGGGAATTGTCCACCCTAGGAATAAGAGGCATTCATTCATTTTGTGATCCCTTATAAATTCCCTACTGAGGGTGGGGTGAAAAAGAAGAGCTGGCTCATAACCATTCTTAGACCAAGATAGAAACCCCTTTATTCCTCGGAGCTCCTGGCTAATTTGATTTTCTCTCTTTGAAAGTATTTATCCATAGAGTAATATTTGATACATTTTCTGAGTTGATATCTGCTTATTATCTGTGGTTACTTTGTTAGACACTTAAGAGCTGGGCCTAAACAACATTCTTTTTTCACTTAAACTAAACTTTAAAAACCTTCTCCACAGAGTGTCTTCTCCAAATAAATACTGAAGAAAACAAATAATTTTCCACAGAAATTTAAGACAACATTTGCAGCAAAAACTTTAGGCTCCATTTCTATTCTTAGAAGTGGATTTTCCATCTGGTATCTTTTAACAAGTATACCTAGAAGGACACGTTCAAATATGTAACATATTTTCAGAAACATCTTGTTAAGAGTCTGGTTACTTAGCCTTCTGGTGCTGTTGTGGAACCAGAACTTCTACATTCTTTGTCTAAAATTGCCTATCTGGCCTCAAAATAAGTTCTTTTTATTATTTCACTTTTAATTACTGTTTTAATTGTACAAATTTATTAGGTGCTGTGGGATAATTCAATACATGTACATGGTTGTCATGATCTAATGATCAAATCAGAGTGGTTAACATTTCCATCCCCTTAAACTTCTTCCTAATTCTGAAGCAGGGTCTGGAACTCACTATGTAGGGAAGACTGGACTCAAACTCGAAATCTTCATGCCTTAGCCTCCTAAGCACTGAGATTACAGGTGGGCACCATCAAATTCAGATTTAAATTTTTGATTGATATGTAATGATTGCATATATCTTTGGGCTACAGTGTGATATTTTAATATAATATAGACTCATTAAAATAACTTCTTTAAATGTGGTGACAAATTTCTCTCCTGCAAAGATGAGTTACCTTAAAGGAGGTATTCAAAGTTTCTTCAACGCTAAATCTGGATCAAGAAGATATTTTACCAGGTGCATTAAATTTTGGTCATCTTTCTTTCCCAATGCTACCTTCACCTCAATGGCTGCTTCACACTTGTCAGTTTTGCCTCTGCCTTCAAGACAGACCTGTGGCCCTGGACTCAATTAGAAAGAAATCTCCTCTTAAATAACTTTCTCAGCCCTCTTACTATAAAACTTGTTCTGAGAGGGCCACCTGGCTTAGTTGAGGGCAGAAGGCTGAGTTTGAAGATTGAAGGAAATCATGTCAAGAGTCAGACATCCTTCCAGAACCCCAGGATTAATATTGCACAAAGAGGCGAGATTGTATTATATGAGCTCCTTTATTCTCATAACCTTACAAAGCATGTTTAGGCTAAACATTCCCTCAATTCTTTCCTCAGAACAAGACTGTATTTCTATTTTTCTACTAAACATCTCACATTGGTTTGCATTGCAAACTGAATGTCCTACAGATACACAAAATCTAATTCTTCCCCTTTCCCTAAGCTCATTGTCCAACACCTGATGGTTAATGCCTCCCTTTCTTTTCTGCTCTCCATAAAATACCACTCCCAAAGAAACCTTGATATGTCCTTTCACTCTGTAACATATTCTCCAAATCAACACTTTTTAAACTACCTCCTCCTTTCAGATACTGATGAAACTAATCTTGCTGCATCATCATTTCCCTGGATATTAAAAAACTTAACTGCCTCACTTTCTTCAGGCTTCCTGTGTTATGATTTATCCTTCAAACTTCCATTAAAATTATTCTCAAATATTTATGAAAATACAGGTATGAACACTTAGGCGAGTACATGCATACAGAGAAAAAAATGATCACCGATGATTCTTTGATACATGTGGGACCAAATCTAAGCAAAATCTTTATACTGCATCCAAAAGAGGGAGGAGTTTGTCCATCCTATATCTCTGATCTTGTCAATCCCCTTTCCTTTAAGTATTATGAATTCTCTCAAGATACTTTTCAGCTTATAAAGTTTACCATGCTTAATTATTTCAAAAATATTTTATTGAAATATAACATACACATGGAGAAGTCTAGGTCAATAAACAGAATAATATCAGCTCCCAAAGCCTTTTGTGACTTCTTCCAGTCAATAATAAATATCCTAGTTTTTAATATGATTAATTTTGCCTATTTTTGAAATGTGTAATTATAGTCATCAGACACACCCACAGTGCTGCATAATTTGTTCATTCCCATTGCTACATAATTTTTCCATCATGAGAACCTACTAGAATATATTTGTTAATTCTACTGCTGATAGGCACTCAGTTAAGTTTGGAGCTAGTGTAAGTAATGTTGCCATGAATACTCTAGCATGTCTTTTGTGAGCACATGTATGCATTTCTGTTGGGTGTACACCTAGGGGTAGAATTACCCTATCATAGATCATGCATATTTACCTCTAGTAAATGCTTCCAGTTTTCGCAAGTGACCTCACCAACCTGCACCCACACCAACACTGTGGGAGAGTTTGTTCACATCCTCATCAATACCTTGTGTTGCTGGTCTTTTCAATTGTAGCTGTTCTAGTGTGTGTAGGGCTATCGCAACATGGATGTGCCCTTTCTCCACAGTCCCGAAGGACCCTTACATCACTGTGCTAGACTGATGATCTCTCTGGTACTGCCTTCTTCTTTACATTCTTTTTCTCCATGCTCCTTGCTTTCTGATACTTCTTCAGGATAAAATTTCTTAAATAATAGTAAGAATCAGAGAATTACATCCACTTCACCCATAAAACTTCCCTTAATCCCCTAACACTGTGGGGAAACTTTCAAGTTTCATTAGAAGTTTCTAATGTGGAATCAGGACTAAAGGGGCCTAAGTACCTCTCAGGCTCCATCCCCATGAAGCTAGATGGTGGGAAATAGGATTTCAATCCCAGTTGGCCTAAAGACAAAGGTTATTCATGTAATGACTTCACATAAGGAAAAACTGTCTCTGACTCATGGTTAATTGATCCTTGGCCCAAGGCTGGTTTTTCTGCCCTCCCCCTCCCATTTCATCTCCTTTAAAGCAGGTACAGAGGTTTTAGAGAGAAGCAAGTTCATCCACTAAGAGGAACAAGCTCCAGACCAATACAACCAAGCCCTTCTGTTTCCCATCATCCCAGTTTTTCCAACAGTTGCACATATGCCATGGCTCCTCCTTTGGAGACAGTGCTGAAGTTACTGTCTCCATCCCAGCTGCACCCAGACCCAAGAATGTAGCAGCATCTGACACAAGGGAGGCCGAATCCTCCAGCCGCTGCTCCAGTGCTGCAGAGATGACAAGGAAATTCACTATAAACCTTTGTCACATAATAAAACACAACAATACTGACTCACAGAGTAGTTGTGAACATGGGAAAGACTATAAGCTATTTAGCACATAGTAGGTATTTATCAAACTATAATGGTAACCAGACACTACCTTAGGGTTTCACTGTCAGTGTCTCATGAAACCTCCCTTCTTCCACAACCACTGGGTGACACTTTTTCCTTTCTACAGATGAGGAAACAAAGCCTGAGAGATGAGAAATCCTGTCAGTGGCCTCATTAAAAATATAGGAAAAAAAAAAAGAATATGTATTGCAAATATGTACAGAAGAACAAGGAGGAGGAGGAAGAGAAAAGAGAGGGAGGAGGGGAAGGAGGAGGTGGAGGAGGAGAAGGAGAGGAAGGGAATCAAGACATGGATGGAGGGGAGAGGAAAGGAAGGGAAAGGGAATGAGAAAGGAATTATAATGCATCATGTACACGTACCACCTCCACATAAGGGATGTAAACATTATTCGCTACAAACATGTACTACTTAAAATCTTTTTTAAATCTTTGGAAATGAAACAAAAATGTAGAAGCCAGGTGTGATATCACGTACCTGTAATCTCAGCACTTTGGGAGGCTGAGGTAGGAGAATCACAAGGCTGTCTCAGCTGGGGCAACGGAGCAATTTAGCAAAACCTTGTCTCAAAATTGAAAAATAAAAAAGGCAAAGTAATAAAAGTTTGAGCTCAGCTCATTTATCAACTTAGCAAGACCTTGTTTCAAATGAGAAAGAGCTAGAGATGTAGGTCAGTCTGAAGGTTTTGAGTTCAATCCCTAGTACCGCGCCCCCATTAAAAAATGGAAAGCCAAATGCAGTGGTCCACACCTGTAATTCTAGCCACTCAGTATTCTGAGGCAAGAGACTCTAAGTCTGATGCCAGTTTGAGCAACTTAGCAAGACCCTGTTTTTCAAAATTAAAAAAAAGAAAATTAAAGACAAGGCTGGAAATATAGCTCAGTAGGTAAACACCCCTGGGTTCTATCCCTACATAAAAAGAGAGACAGACAGACAGAGGTGGGAGGGAAGGGGGGGGAATATGAGGGGAGGGGAAAGAGAAGAAAGGGGAAGAGAGGAAAGGAAAGGAGAAGAGAGGAGAGGAGAAGAGGGGAGGGGAGAGGAAAGGAAAGGAAAGGAAAGGAAAGGAAAGGAAAGGAAAGGAAAGGAAAGGAAAGGAAAGGAAAGGAAAGGAAAGGA